TAGCACTCAGTCACATCGCCTTTCAACACGGACAATCGCACAGAGACGCCCCTTCTCCTTAAAATAAAAAAATCTAGAGAAAAAGGGAGAAAAGACAGGGATCCCGAAATATATAAGTCTTTTGCGCCGAGACAGACGGTCGCCATTTAAGTCACGAGAGAGAGAGGACGAAGTGCGAGAAGTTCCCTAGAGAGAAAAAGGGAGGATTTTGAGCTGAAAAGAGGCGTCGAAATGGCTGGACTTACCTTTGAGAGGTTTTCTCGGGGTCTGACGGAGAACCTGTGAGTATTTGAGTCTTGTTTTGCGGTGATATAGAGGGAAAAGGAAGAAACCTGTAGAGGAAGTACCCTTTGACCCTTATGGGAAGGGTTTGACAGGTTTATTTCGATATAAATGTCAATTTAGGGGTTAATTTCGACCGTGACATATAAAAGTGTCATGCATTTACCACGAGACATACTATGTGCATTTGGTTTTCCTAGATCTCGTCCCAGAATTATTAGCCGAGGAATGTGAAGAGAGGACGTGACCTCTGTCAGTGACCCAGCGGCGCTTTGACCTCAGTGATTCCTTCCTACCTTTGCGTGCGAACTGAATTCCCATGAATTTGCTACCCAATCTCCCAACACACACAAAGCCCCAAGACCAGGCTACCATGCGAAATTCCAAACGTAACCTTTCCTACCATATAGTCATTCTCTAGACAGGAGGGCAAACCGTCTATACCACCCTTTTATTAGCTGAGTAACGATCGACCTTTTTTTCTGTCCACATCATGTTTACATTGCAAGGATAAACACAAGTATTATGTCATCACTCGTCATTGTGATCTATGAAGTTGCTTGTGTATCAGTAAGCGCTTGAGAAAATGATTATTTTGTAATTATTAATCCCTGCGTTTCCTAATTTATGTATTTAATTAGCTCTATCATACTTCTTAAATTAGTTTTCCTTGTTATTTACGCTTTTCTGCACAGTAGGCTTCTGCGCATGAAAGCTTTCGCTACCAGGAGATTTGACAGGCTGTGAGATTCAATTCTTGACAGACACTGGTGATAAAGGTTTCATTTTAAGTGTTCTGTCGATTCCAGGTCATTTTTAAAACATCATCAAGTGCCCCAAATGCTGAAAAAGTGATTTGAATCCAAGCAATTCAGATTGTAGATGGAAGCAACAATCACTATGGTGTTTTTCACTATATAAAGGAATGTGGTTTTCAGCAACCAAATTATTTGTAGAACCAAAAGTAGTATTTGATTGAGCTAAATTAAATCCCCCTATCCATTTTAGGTCACTTATCCTAGGAGTGTAGTGGGCAGAGAGTGGCTTGTAGTGGCTTGAGAATATATAGAATGCACCTTATAAATCCAATAGTGGCCTGGATGCAAAGCTCCGTGGCGAAAGTATATGTAGATCATATGGTATTAAACCCATGGGATTCCAGGGGTCTTGGCACATAATACTACTGGCTTAGGAATATATAGAATGCCTTTTATAAATCCAGTGGGGTCCAGGGGGGTAAAGCTCCCTGGCTAGGGAATATATAGATCATGGTGTATAAATCCCACAGGGTTAACGTTAGGTTGGTTTATTGGTCAGGATGTATTGTATGATTACCATGGAGGTTTTGGATGGTATGAAATCCTGTAGGTTTTTTTGAGCGGGGTTTTTGATTGGCATGTCAGTCTGTAGACTTTCAAAGACGGGGGACCATGTTTGTAGAAGTTTATTTGCTGATTTTAAGTTGTAGTAGTTGTTGTTTTTGTTGGGTTTTATGCATTTTAGTTTGATATTATTCTTATTTAGCCTGTTTTACCTTACAATTTTCTGGATGTACTTCATGCCCCCTCCCCCCCTCCTGTTGGGACTTGGCTCATTTATAAGCTGGGAATACTATAGAAATCATAATCAGATTTGTTCTCATCAGACAAGAATAAAGCTGATGATATAGATATTGTCCGGGAAGACCCAATTGTGAAAAAAAATGAAATGAAATGAATTATTTTGGGGCAATACACAAGGTGCAAATGCTATTGGCAATTGTAAATACTGTACTGTTGTCATGTAAACAGTAACATGAACTATTTCACTGCTGTGGAGGAAGATTGCTTTTGTTAGTGTATACAAAGTATGAAGCCCTAGTGATCAATACACATTTGACCTGTTGCCACCAGAGTTGCATGTGCGCTGTCTGATATCATTTAAATTTTTTTTAAAGGATGCTGCACAAAGTCAGTAATTCAGTGGAAAATGGGAAGCACTGGAAACATGGTTTCCCCAAACAGAAGAATAAGTGGTTTGTTCACACACCTTAAAGCAGCTTTACCATACAGTTCACTAACCCCTTGGATCTTGGTGCTTTACCACCAGCATGTGATCCAAAATCCAGGTATTAGGCTTGAGCAGTTATCCTGACAAGTGTGTGACTTATAGGCTGGGTGTACACAAAACACTGATGTGCAGTGACAAGACTCCATGCCTTTTCAATGCCATTTTCTCTTTTTCTGCAAGTATTTTTAGTTTTTTTTACCATTTTCCAATGTCTGTATTTGTCATTTTATATAGTGTATCCAATACTGGTAATACTGTTTTCCTCACACAGACTTCATATCTCTCTAGGTAGTCCATAAGTAACATTTTGTTTTTTGTGTCATTTAAATTTTTTTTAAAGGATGCTGCACAAAGTCAGTAATTCAGTGGAAAATGGGAAGCACTGGAAACATGGTTTCCCCAAACAGAAGAATAAGTGGTTTGTTCACACACCTTAAAGCAGCTTTACTATACAGTTCACTAACCCCTTGGATCTTGGCGCTTTGCCACCAGCACGTGATCCAAAATCCAGGTATTAGGCTTGAGCAGTTAAGACAATCCATGCCTTTTCAATGCCATTTTCTCTTTTTCTGCAAGTATTTTTAGTTTTTTTTACCATTTTCCAATGTCTGTATTTGTCATTTTATATAGTGTATCCAATACTGGTAATACTGTTTTCCTCACACAGACTTCATATCTCTCTAGGTAGTCCATAAGTAACATTTTGTTTTTTGTGTCATTTAAATTTTTTTCATAAATTCCAATTTTCTGTGATGCAACTTGTGCTACTTGAGCATGGAAGTAGTATCCTCCTCGGAGCTGGCACTCTTCCAATCATGGCTCATGGATGGCACATTCTACACTCATTTATCAATGGAAATAATGCAATAGTCCCTTCTTAAATTCCCACTGAGCCTAATCACCCTCCAAGAGCTTAGTGCACTTGTTGCAAGTCATTCCCATAACCCTGGCCTTCAACCTCAGTTCACATGATAACTATTTCCCCGTCACCTTGGCCCACAGCCAATTTTTCCTATAATGACGTATTTACATCTGCTCTTCAAGTCCTATTTTTCATGAAGTGATGGCCACGTCATCCAGATCGTAGTGTTAGTACTTGCCATCTGGCATGTAGGCTCAATGCATCATGGCAAAAATAATGCCATCTGATGCAAATGGATTTGTAATGATAATAGTTCTAGATTTAGGACCTCCCCCCCACCAAAAAAAAAAAAAAATAAAAAAAATTACGCTGGGGAAAATTATTAAAAGATGGGGGAAAAGCTGTGCTCATTTTTTATATTTTTTGTGAAATGTTATATTGATGGCATATAGATGACTCTGCCTTACCTGATTTCACCTTTCCTTGAATTGGCGGGAAAATGTATTTTTTACTAGTGCTATGAATATCGATGATGTTATTTTTATTATAAACATTATAATTACTATAATGTTATAAACAATAGTAATAGCAAAATAAGATAATGTAAAATATTTTCGTAAATTAAAGAAAAGGGTAAACGGTCGTGACAGGCAGTTCTCGCAATTGGCTCATTGGTGATTTAGTACAAGTGTAGCCATCTATGTGTAAAAACAATTATACTCACAGTGGGCATGGCACAGATACGTGGCATGCCCGTCGCGAATGGGTTAAAGAAATTTTACACACATTACATATAGCTGTTTGTGTACCTAAACAATCAAATGCAAGTCAAATATATTCAGTGCGCAGTACATGTTTCCATTTAAAAAAATAAAAAAAAATAAAAAAAATAAATAAATAAAAAAATAAAAAGGTTAAACAGGTGATGTCAGATAGTCCTAGTAAGTGACTTAGTGACTTTATATTTGTTGAGCTATGTATGTGAAAAATAGTAATAGTAATAGGTAAATGAATAGTTCTTTAGCCCTTTAGTTCTGAGTTAGGAGATCCCCTTTATTTCCTTACAACAGCATACTCGCAGGTCTTCATAATATGATAGCTGATTCTAAATTCCATCAAATAGTTAGTCTTTATGAAACTCTGGACAATAAGTAATATGAAACCATCTTTACGCTGGGGAAAATTATTAAAAGATGGGGGAAAAGCTGTGCTCATTTTTTATATTTTTTGTGAAATGTTATATTGATGGCATATAGATGACTCTGCCTTACCTGATTTCACCTTTCCTTGAATTGGCGGGAAAATGTATTTTTTACTAGTGCTATGAATATCGATGATGTTATTTTTATTATAAACATTATAATTACTATAATGTTATAAACAATAGTAATAGCAAAATAAGATAATGTAAAATATTTTCGTAAATTAAAGAAAAGGGTAAACGGTCGTGACAGGCAGTTCTCGCAATTGGCTCATTGGTGATTTAGTACAAGTGTAGCCATCTATGTGTAAAAACAATTATACTCACAGTGGGCATGGCACAGATACGTGGCATGCCCGTCGCGAATGGGTTAAAGAAATTTTACACACATTACATATAGCTGTTTGTGTACCTAAACAATCAAATGCAAGTCAAATATATTCAGTGCGCAGTACATGTTTCCATTTTAATGAAGGACAGTGATAAATGAAAGGGGAGGAGATTAAAAATTTAAAAAGTTTAAGGTCTGTGAACAAGAATTAATTTGGGATGACAGTTGTGCTAAAGTATTTAGTAGCATAGCATGGTTAGTTAACTACTAGATATCGAGAATAAAATGGCATGTTGGAAACACAATTAGGTAAATAATTTACTTAGTTCTAATGCACCAAAACATTTGCAATAAGATTACTACATAAGGAACTGAGCAAGAGCTGTTGCTAGTTTTTCAACAAGGTGAGGGAAAGGGTTAAGATTAGTAAGTAAAGTACCATATCCTGAATTTCACACAGTTGTTGCTTATTTTAATCTGACCTATGACATTTTTACTTCTTAAAGCTTGAATTTTTAATGCAAGTAGCAAACAAAGTATCCTATCAGTTACTTGCCAAGGAAAAAGGGAATGAATGTAATTATTACAAACAAGGTGAAAATACTTTTTAGTCCTACAAGGTTTATCTAGGGAAAACATTAACACAGTCATGTCAAGAGATGCTGGATCACATCCTGTAATGTCATGGTAGATCTTTGTGTCAGTCCATGTGAGCCTTCTCTGAGTGCACTTGTTTCTCCTCAGTTGTTTAGGAGAAACAGGCCACAAACAATAGGTTTAGAGTCCCCTTTTATGATCAGTACCCCCCCCCCATCAAATTCCTTAATAATTTCTTGAAAGATCTTGGCTTAAAAGTCATTAATGTTATTTCTTTTAGATATTGATAAGAGATCCTTGAATGAACACCATAACTTATTTCTTTATTCATTCTTGTCAAACAATATTGTAAAAGTATCGTATTGCAGAATATTGTTTTGGTCATTAGTGTAAGGGAAGATTAGTTCTGTAGGCTAAGGCATTTGGCCTTAACCATTTTCTTTCATTTTATGTAAAGGTGTTAGAATGTTGACATTTCTCATGTGGTGCTTTTATCTTTACAGAGAGGCTCCAGTAAGGACACACTTGAAAAATGTTTATGCTACTTTCACCCTAGCTACCATAGCAGCAACTGCTGGTGGCTATGCCCACATGTTCAGCACACTCATTGGTGCTGGTCTCCTCACTGGTCTGGGTGCCATTGGGGCACTCATATGGCTCACGATCACACCATACGATGGCAAGAACCAGCTGCAGCGACTTTCTCTTCTTGGCGCCTTTGCCTTCCTGACTGGCTGTAACCTTGGCCCCTTGCTGAATCTGGCTGTGATGGTCAACCCCACTCTGGTAAGTAGGGAAGGGAATATACTTTAGAAAACACTTAAACTAAACCATCCATATAAGTTGGGGTAAACATGGGGTTATTATGGGTGCATGGATTCATGGTTTGGGTATTATGTTTTATAAATCACTATTTTAATCTTGGATTCCCTTGTCTCTTTCTGGTCCTCTTTTGATTTTTAATGCTAGTTGTAAAGTCCTGTGTAATAAAGTAATTAAAAGGAATTAATTTCTTAAGAAGTTAAAACTTTTGTTTGTTTGTAAACCACTACATATTTAATTTGTCTGTATTATCATTTATGTATGATCTTGGTCTCTGATTTATAAATAACAATTGGCTTCATGAGACAAACCAGGAGGATTACACGTGAGCAAATGAAAATATGGGAAACGGTTAATCATTTTGTGTTGGCAAGAACTGCACAGAGCAAACTAGCATAATTATTTATTTGGTACCTTTTTCAGTAGTATTTTGCTTTTCATTGGGAGGAGTGCCTGTGTCTAACTCACCACTGTCAGTCAGTACTCCACCCTACTTATATATAGGAATTTACATGTTCTTAAATATTTAGATTGAAAAGCTGAATGGCAGAGGCAGATATTTTACCAAATTCAGTTGTGGGGATAATTTGGACACCAACTATGACCATGTGAAATTGCTAGATGGGAGACTTAATTGTATCAATTTAAGTTTGTAAATGGAAATTGTCATGAATGAATTTTGGTGTTCTCATTTTTTGTGTGTTGCAAGAGGATTAAAATCTTGGTCATATACATTTTAAAGATATAGCAATATAGGTTTTAATTTTATTGTTATTACTCCCCCCCCCCCCCATTTTCTTTTGTAATGAAAACAAAAATAATTATAAAGGAATGAGTTCTAGGTCATCAGCATCTACAAGTATTCAGCAACCATGCCATAGGAGTGTGATACTGTTAATCTGATTTACCATAAGCAACTTCTAGGCTTCAATTTCAAGACTTTTCTCAAGCTTTCACATTATGTTTCTTCTTTTGATTAATGCCATCATAACTTGAAGTCCTGTAATGTGCATTCTGGTCCAAGTGTCAGGAGTTTGAGACCGGGGAAACTAGAAAGGGTCGTATAGTTCCAATTTTCATTATAGGGAGGAGTATGTACTAGTAAAATAATTTCATATTTATTTTATTTGTTTATTTAGGTATTTCTTTATTTATTATCTATTAGTAATGAGGTTTTTAAACGTTTGAATGTTTAACAAATTTTTCTTTGACTGCCTTTTTGTATTATTAATGTATTACTAATCAAATTCTGATTATTCTGATGGTTATTCCATTATTTTTTGCAGGTATTGCAAGCTCTGCTCGGCACAAGTGTGGTATTTGCCTGCTTCTCCCTGTCAGCTCTCTATGCTCCTCGTGGCCATTACCTCTACCTTGGAGGTACACTGATGTCAGCCTTGTCCACTCTCTTCTGGCTCTCCATGCTGAACTTCTTCTTTGGCTCTCGACTCCTCTTCCAGGTGAGTGCAACAATGAAGGTAACATTTATATCTTTATGTGATGGTAAAAGTAATTAGTTTCCCTGAAATTTAATTATAGTCTGAGCTTGGAAATTATTCTTACTCTGTATTAAACCGTTTTCTAAGCTTGCTCTTCAAATGTCATCAATTAATAACGACTTCTTTGAAAATTTTCCAGGTGAATTTGTACATCGGGCTTGCAGTCATGTGTGGCTTCATAGTTTACGACACTCAGCTCATTGTTGAGAAAGCACGACGAGGGGACAAGGACTATGTGATGCACAGTGTTGAGCTGTTCATTGACTTTGTTGCAGTGTTCAAGCGCCTTCTCATTATCCTCACAGACAAGGTATTTACTTTGAGGTGTATCATATGATGTATATTGGATAATAGACACAAATTAGTAAACATGCACAACTGCTGAAGTTGTTGTGTGATGTACAAAAGTGTTATACGCAAGTAGAGTAATAATTTCAAATTTGTAGGAAAGTGACTTTGCTTTGTTTCTGTATCCAGGAGGTGTGCATACATTTAACTAGCATTTTATTCTTCCAGGAGGCACAGAGCAAGAGGAAGAACCGTGATTAAGAAAGATGCCACAGATGTAGTTTAGAAGATACGGTATCCAAGGTTCCAAATTTTTGATTGGGCGGGAGGGGGGAGGGGGAATGGATATGAAACAAAAGTTGTATAAGAATTGGCAGACCCTAAAAATAGTGTTCATATGCATAGGTATTAGGTCTTTCTAAAGGTTTCATAAATATCACATTTTATTTGAAAAGGAGTTGTGATTGATATACTGCAAGAGGCATGTGTTAAACAACATTTAGTGCATCATGAGAGCTTGTAATTTACATTGAAAAATAAATAGTGGTTTTCTTATTTTGCAAATCAGCCACTTTCTTTTATAAAGAGTGTGTTAAAATCACCTTACAACCAAATGATGTTAACATACAGGAAAGTTAAAAATGCCACATTGTGCACCCTGCTCACACATGTCCAGGAGCCAGTACAATATGCACATGTCACATTGCAACCTATTTTCCATATTCTGTTGTTTGTGTTTAGCTATCATGTTTTTCACCATTATCCAACAACAGCCTGATTATCATAAACTGTTCAGCATCATGCCCTTCCTCAGGGACATCATTTTATATAACAAATTTTTCTTTGACTGCCTTTTTGTATTATTAATGTATTACTAATCAAATTCTGATTATTCTGATGGTTATTCCATTATTTTTTGCAGGTATTGCAAGCTCTGCTCGGCACAAGTGTGGTATTTGCCTGCTTCTCCCTGTCAGCTCTCTATGCTCCTCGTGGCCATTACCTCTACCTTGGAGGTACACTGATGTCAGCCTTGTCCACTCTCTTCTGGCTCTCCATGCTGAACTTCTTCTTTGGCTCTCGACTCCTCTTCCAGGTGAGTGCAACAATGAAGGTAACATTTATATCTTTATGTGATGGTAAAAGTAATTAGTTTCCCTGAAATTTAATTATAGTCTGAGCTTGGAAATTATTCTTACTCTGTATTAAACCGTTTTCTAAGCTTGCTCTTCAAATGTCATCAATTAATAACGACTTCTTTGAAAATTTTCCAGGTGAATTTGTACATCGGGCTTGCAGTCATGTGTGGCTTCATAGTTTACGACACTCAGCTCATTGTTGAGAAAGCACGACGAGGGGACAAGGACTATGTGATGCACAGTGTTGAGCTGTTCATTGACTTTGTTGCAGTGTTCAAGCGCCTTCTCATTATCCTCACAGACAAGGTATTTACTTTGAGGTGTATCATATGATGTATATTGGATAATAGACACAAATTAGTAAACATGCACAACTGCTGAAGTTGTTGTGTGATGTACAAAAGTGTTATACGCAAGTAGAGTAATAATTTCAAATTTGTAGGAAAGTGACTTTGCTTTGTTTCTGTATCCAGGAGGTGTGCATACATTTAACTAGCATTTTATTCTTCCAGGAGGCACAGAGCAAGAGGAAGAACCGTGATTAAGTAAGATGCCACAGATGTAGTTTAGAAGATACGGTATCCAAGGTTCCAAATTTTTGATTGGGCGGGAGGGGGGAGAGGGAATGGATATGAAACAAAAGTTGTATAAGAATTGGCAGACCCTAAAAATAGTGTTCATATGCATAGGTATTAGGTCTTTCTAAAGGTTTCATAAATATCACATTTTATTTGAAAAGGAGTTGTGATTGATATACTGCAAGAGGCATGTGTTAAACAACATTTAGTGCATCATGAGAGCTTGTAATTTACATTGAAAAATAAATAGTGGTTTTCTTATTTTGCAAATCAGCCACTTTCTTTTATAAAGAGTGTGTTAAAATCACCTTACAACCAAATGATGTTAACATACAGGAAAGTTAAAAATGCCACATTGTGCACCCTGCTCACACATGTCCAGGAGCCAGTACAATATGCACATGTCACATTGCAACCTATTTTCCATATTCTGTTGTTTGTGTTTAGCTATCATGTTTTTCACCATTATCCAACAACAGCCTGATTATCATAAACTGTTCAGCATCATGCCCTTCCTCAGGGACATCATTTTATATAACAAATGTTTCTTCTTTAATAGCTGCTGTTGGAAGTTGGCTCGTAAAATTCAGGCCTGTTAATATGGTTTTCATTGGTCAGAGCTTCTAACATTAGTTTAAGGAGAAACTGCCAAGGAATATGAGACACCTTTGCACTTGTCCATCATTTCAGAGAGTGTATAATTAGTTTTTAGAGGATAAAGAAGATCCCAACACATCACATATTTAGATATTAATGTACAGTTTGTTTGATGATGTATATGGAAGATGTTGCTGCTTTAACCAAAGTTCTTAGTGTATTTGACAGTTTTTTTCCTTCAATTAGAATTTCATTCCAGGATTTTTTTTAAATGAAATAATGCAATAGTCAATCCACTTTTTTCATTGATCTAAGTACAAAAATATTGTTTTCTTTCATGCCCCATGGTAGAATCATGGATATTTTCATTTTCTCTACAATAAAATATAAATTTATTTTTACTGTTCTACTTGGTTTTCATCATCAGTATTTGTGGGCAGTATTGTTGCATGGAGCCTTTACTGAAAGAAATTGACCTCCTGTGATTTTGTTTGTTTTGCATAGTTGCAAACTTGATGGGAAATTATTTTGAGAATGGAATGGATACATTTTATGTTGAATAAAATATTTATGTACATTGTTATAAGTCCAGTTTATCTGATGTCCTTGAAATGGCATATTATGTTCAGAATACTGATGCTAATGGGTGAAGATATCTACAGTTTTCATTTTGGTATTTTATACTTGAATTTGATGGCTTCATATCTAATATCTAATCTTAGATATATTTTGATACAATAAAGGCAAACTGGAGAAAGTGGTTTCTGATGTCTACTCCACATGGTCTCAAGTGTCTGAACTGTGCTGATGAATGCTGTTTGTATCAATAAATATGTTCCCTTCTTTATTTGCAGAAAGATTAGAACTTTATTTGCAGAAAGATTAGAACTAATAATTACCATTTTAAATTCAATAAATGGGTTTGTGAAATTGGCATAGCACTCCCAGTTTTGTTGCAGACAGCATGGAATGTTTGAAATGAGATTTTGATTTTTTTTTTCCTTTTGATCAGAATTTCATGTGATCCTAATTTTCCTGTGGTAGAAAAAAGTATATGTTGTGGAATATTGCTTACTGGACACTTGTAAGGAATATATTATAAGGATATTTTTGGTGTCTGTTGATGTCATGATTGTCAATAAAAAAAAACTTTTGCAAATTTTATTTCATTGACCAGATAACAAATGTTATCAGTAGATATTATATTTCATCTTGACTACAGAGATGTATTTTGAGAATAAGAAGAATGTAAGCCCAGTCAACAGTACTTATACATATTGCTCAGGACAACATTATTATCATTCTTATTAAGATTATAATTATTAAATCGTTATTAAAATATTAATAACATCAAAAACAATAAATTAGTAGAAATAAATTTATCAAAAAATCAAGGAAAAGGGTAAACAGGTAAGATAGGTAAGACTAATAGCTGATTCCTTGATGACTATCACTTGTAGAGCCATCTATGTGTAAAGCCAAAATATGAACTGTTATTACAGTGAGCATGACATTGTAGTCTTGCCACCTGCAATAATTGGGTTAAAGTAGATTTACGAAAGTCTATAAATATACAGTAAGTCCGCCAACTTAAGAACATAATGGGGACCGAGAGGCTGTTTGTAAGTTGATTTGTTTGTGTGTCGAAAGTCGGGTCTCCATTACCTTTTTTCCTATTGTTTTAAAGTTTTGTTTACAATAAGAATACCTGTAAATAAATCCCAATAAGTACAACATACCTTAAACAGTACCAGACTCTTGAACTATATTGGTGCCCGGGAAATTTGAAGTTTGCTAGCATCTTTCAAACAATTTTTCGGACTTTAGTACATAAAAAAAATTGTATGTATGGAATGTTCATAAGTAGAATGTTCTTAAGTAGGGGACTATCTGTACTGTGAATAACATATTTTTTGATAAGAACTTTATATGTTGCTTTCTAAATTAAATGCTTCTCATATCTAAAAGTTTTTCAAGGTGACTGTCATACTCATGACCATACTGCAGAAGAAACTACAGATGTATTTCAATGATCCACAGTATATTTTTACTTACCAAATGCTCATAAAGAGTAGACTGAAAAAGTATACCAGATTCATTCATTCGTATAATACATGTTTCGCCAATAGTTAGAGTTGCTAATAACATGTTATTAGAATCTCTATGTGCCTGGAAAAAAATGAAAGTTCAATTAAGCTCATATCATTTGTTCACAGAAAGAGCATAAGTTACTAACATTGTGATGTAGCACTGATTAAGAGCTGTTAAACGTTTGTGGGATTTGTGCTTCTAGTTTTCGACGTTCATGGTGGACATTTCAATAAGCACCCCAAACGTCCTTAAGAAATTTTGCTTATTTTAAGCCTTTGAGAAATGCTGCATATCTGGCATCCTCTCAAAACAGATATGTGAAGACTGCATAGTTGTATTTGCTTCAAATGCTCCAGTTTAACTTTGTAGTTCTGAGCTGCATAATTTACTTTCCTGTCAGGTAGATATTGCATTAGCCAATTTTTTTTTTCCTTTACAGATACAACTATTAAGATAATTTTGAATTAGGAAGAAAACATTTTTGCATTTGTGGGTGGCATAACGAACTAATCAGATTTATTACATCAGACACTCTGTGATGCACTGACATTATTAATACAATAATATTGTACGGAAGATATAATACAACCGGGACAAAAAGGCTATGGAGGAACTAAATACCCAAGTTGGTGTGAATACCTATTTAGGATTTTAGTGCGAAATTGCAGCCCTAAACCCCCCTCATTTATCCATCATATAATCATGCAATATTAGGAACCAATTGGTCACAGGAGGGGTTTGCTTGCTGACTGGACACTTCAAAATCAAGTTTGAAAGTAATAAAGTAAAACTTACAATTGAAACAAAAATAGTAAGAACTAAATATAACAAAGGATGGTGTCACCAAGAGTGCCCAAAGGAATATCCTGAATAACGTGGATATCAGGATCTACAATAGTCTCACCTATGTACTGAAGAACAGGAGGAACCTCGTTACGGGCATCGGGTTAGATAAACACGTATACATTATATGGAGTCATGTCAGATTAATAAATTCATTGTTAGACATGCCGTTTCGAAACCAGTTAAGTATTGTTTGAGCTAAATAATCAACAAGGATCGTCGATTCTAGACGACAACAAGGATGGAGAAGCTCTTTAGGACAAACAAGATGGACA